GCTATTTTTTGGTTGCAGCCGTCATTGTTGTTTGGCGAGCCCGGCCTGGATTCTAACCCGCCACCTTAGGTGTATGTGGCTGGTGCATTAGCCACTTGAGTCACAGGCGCTGAGCCACATTTTTAATTTTTTGAGACAGTATCACTATGTCACCCTTGTTAGAGTGCTATGGTGTCATAGCTTGCAGCAACCTCTAATTCTTGGGCTTAAGTGATTCTCTTGCCTCAGCCTCCCAAATAGCTGTGACTACAGGTGTCCACTACAATGCCTGGTTATTTTTTTTTGTTGCAGTTGTCATTATTGTTTAGCAGGCCCAGGTGGGGTTTGAACTGCCTGCCTCAGTGTATGTGGCCTGTGCCCTAACCGCTGAGATATAGGTACCGAGCCTTTTATAAACATTGTAGTTTATTTTTTATTTATTTTTGAGACAGAGCCTCAAGCTATTGCCCTGGATGGAGTGCTATGGCATCACAGCTCATAGCAACTTCCAGTTCCTGGGCTCAAGCAATTCTCCTGCCTCTGCCTCCCAAGTAGCTGGGACCACAGGTGCCTGGCACAGCGTCTGGCTATTTTTTGGTTGTAGCTGTCATTGTTGTTTGGCAGGCCCAGGCTGGATTTGAACCAACAGCTCAGGTGTATGTGGCTTGTGCCTTAGCCACTTGAGCCACAGGTGCCGAGCCCATCGTAGTTTATTTTTTAAGCCATAATTTCTTTTTCTTTTTGAGACAGACTCTCACTTTGTCACCCTTGGTAGAGTGCTGTGTTGTCATAGCTCACAGTAACCTCAAACTCTTGGGTTCAAACAATCCTCTTGCCTCAGCCTCCCAAGTAGCTGGGACTACAGGCACCCACCACAACATCCAGCTATTTTTTATAGACAGGGTCTCGCTCTTGCTCAGGCTGGTCTTGAACTCGTGAGCTCAGGCAATCCACCCACCTCGGCCTCCCAATTGCTGGGATTACAGACGTTAGCCATGGTGCCTGGGTTTTTTTTTTTTTTTTTTTGAGACAGAGTCTCATTCTGTTGCTCCAGGATAGAGTGCCATGTTGTCAGCCTAGCTCACAGCAAACTAAAATTTTGGGGCTTAAGCAATCTTTCTGTTATAGCCTCCTGAATGGGACTACAGGTGCCCCCTACAACACCTGGCTATTTTTCTTTCTTCTTTTTTTTTTTAGAGACAGAATCTCACTTTATTGCACTCGGTAGAGTGCTGTGGCGTCACACAGCTCACAGCAATCTCCAACTCCTGGCTTACGAGATTCTCTTGCCTCAGCCTCCTGGGTAGGTGGGACTACAGGCGCCCGCCATAATGCCTGGCTATTTTTTTGTTGCAGTTTGGCCAGGGCTGGGTTTGAACCTGCCACCCTTGGTATATGGGGCCGGTGCCCTACCCACTGAACCACAGGCGCTGCCCCAGATTTTGCTCATCTTTCAAAGAACCAACTTTTTGTGTTGTTAATCCTTTGTATTTTTTTGGTTTACATTTCATTTAGTTCTTTTTTTTTTTTTGAGACAGAGTCTCATTTGGTCATCCTTGGTAGGGTGCCTTGGCATCTTAGCTCACAGCAACCTCAAATGATTCTCTTGCCTCAGTCTCCCCAGTAGCTGGGACTACAGGCGCCTGCCGCAATTCCCAGCTTTAGAGACAGGGTCTTGCTCTTGCTCAGGCTGGTCTCAAACCTGTGAGCTCAGGCAATCCACTTGCCTCAGCCTCCCAAGTGCTGGGATTACAGGGGTGAGCCATTGCACCTGGCCATTTCATTTAGTTCTGATTTGAGCTTTGTTATTTTTTTTCTCCTGCTTGTTTTGGGTTTGGTTTGCTCTTCCTTTTCTAGTTCCTTGAAATGTGACATTAGGTTGTTAATTTGTGGGGTTCCAGAAACAGGTGCCATCCAACCCCAACTTGTATTTTTTTTTTTTTGAGACAGAGCCTCAAGCTGTCCCCCTGGGTAGAGTGCCATGGCATTACAGCTCACAGCAACCTCCAACTCCTGGGCTCAAGCGAGTCTCCTGCCTCAGCCTCCCAAGTAGCTGGGACCACAGGCGCCCGCCACAACGCCCGGCTATTTTTTGGTTGCAGCCGTCATTGTTGTTTGGCGGGTCCGGGCTGGGGATTCGAACCCGCCACCTTAGGTGTACGTGGCTGGCGCCTTAGCCGGTTGAGCTATAGGCGCCGAGCCCCAACTTGTATTTTTAATCTAAAAATGATATGACTACTTAGCTTTTAGCCTACAATCATCTGGAGAAACTATTCATACTCTTATACCTTACCAGATAGTTAGTTGTTTGTCTGATACAGGAATTTAAGGCTATGAATTTTTCCCTTAGGAATGCTTTTACTGTATGTCATAGATTTTGACAACTTGTGTCCCCTTTGTTGCTCAAGGAATCTTTTGAGTTCCATCTTAATTTCATCATTGACCCAAGGATTGTTCAATAGCAAGTTTAATTTCCATGGCTTTGTGTAGATTTCAGTGTTTCTCTTGGAGTTGATTTCTAGTTTTATTCCACTATGGTCTGAGAAGATACATAGTATTATTTCAATTTTTTTGAATTTGCTGAAACCTAAGATATTAGGTAGAATGTATATTTAGTAATTTGGGCTAGAAATATTAGGTGGAATGTATATTTAGTAATTTTGGTTCCATAAGTGTGCATTAGGTCCATTTGTTCTAGAGTACTGTTTAAGTCCAGTATTTGTTTTTTGATTTTCTGCTTCGATGACCTTGCAGGGGAGGGGTAGGTGCACTGAGAGTCTGTAATGCGGCTGTTCTGTTTTATCCTATTTCCTTGTGACTGTTGCAGTTCAAGCTGGTGCTGATTGATCTTCCTATGGAATTCTGGGTTGTTCCCCAGGCTGCTGTTGGCATCTCCAGCTGGGGTCTGGGTGAGAGCCTCTCTAGAGAGTCTGGTGTTTTAGAGGATTGCTCTACCTGTCTCTTCCCACAGGAGTGACAGTGGCATTGGATGAAGCTATTCTAGGCAGGGGTCATGGGTGTCCAGGCTGTGGGCATTTGCTCACTCTGAGTCCAGGTGTGATGGAGGCTGGAGATTGGAGGCAGTTCCTGGCAGGGTGCTGGACCACCAGGTGGGTTCTGCCAGGCTGCAAGTTAGAGCCTTGGAAGTATGGCTGTGGAACTTGATAGCAGTGCGAAGCCTTGGAGCCCGGTCCAGGGGTGTTGTGGCAGTGGTAAAGCTTAGGGGAAAGAGCAGCAACAGAAAAGCTTTAGGCCCAGTGGCACAGTTGAGGCTCAAGAGTGGAGCCTTAGGCCAGGCCTGTGGGCAATGCTGGGGCCTCAGGAGGTGGGGTCATGGGCTTGGCAACAGGGCTGATTGAGAGTGGAGCTGCGGACCCAGTACCAGCAGTGGAGCCTCAGGGGCAGAGCTGTGGGCCCAGCAGCAGCAGTGGAGCCTCAGGGGCAGAGCTGTGGGCCCAGTACCAGCAGTGGAGCTTCAGGGGCAGAGCTGCAGACCCAGTACCAGCAGTGGAGCCTCAGGGGCAGAGTCTTGGGGCCCTGTAACTTATATTTTTATTTTATTTGAGATGGGTGCCAGCAGCCTCATCACTCCCATAAGATGGATACCGCCCACCACCGACTTGCACCAGGGGGCTGTGTAGGATACAAGATGAAAGGACACAAGATGAGAATACCATAACTATGAAATGATGACAGGCACCATTACCCTTAGGTCGGTCTGGATTGGGCCGGAACAGAACAAGATAAGAACTAAGGGGCCAAGTACTGTCATGATGAGAGTTAACAAGCTAAGTGCTGTGGCAAATTGTTTTACTTATTTGCTAATTGCCAGATCTGCTTTATGTTGCCTTTATGTTACCTGTCTGCTAATCATTACGCTAAATTGCAGGGTTCTTCTGTAAAAGGGGTCATCTTGACCCTGCACTTGCTTTTTCTTCTTTAGCCAACTTTTAGCCCACCTGTTTGTTCCGTTGCCAACTTTCAGGCTATAACAACCCCAACTTCAGACCCTTCAATGCTCTCTCACTTAGTCTGCCTTAGGCTTTGCTGAGACAGCCCCGCGGTTAATAAAAGATTCCCTTTTGAACTTCTTTTGGCATCACAGCTCACAGCAACCTCCAACTCCTGGGCTTAGGAGATTTTCTTGCGTCAGCCTCCAGGGTACCTGGGACTACAGGTGCCTGCCACAATGCCTGGCTATGTTGTTGTTGTTGTTGCAGTTTGGCTGGGGTTGGGTTTGAACCTGCCACCCTCAGTATATAGGGCCAGTGTTCCATCCCTTGAGTCACAGCTGCCACCCTCCTTTTTGAACTTCTAATTTGAGTCAGTGGTCCTTATCTCACCCCATTACAATTTTATTTTATTTTATTTTATTTTATTTTTTTGGAGACAGAGCCTCAAGCTGTCCCCCTGGGTAGAGTGCCATGGCATTACAGCTCACAGCAACCTCCAACTCCTGGGCTCAAGCGAGTCTCCTGCCTCCGCCTCCCAAGTAGCTGGGACCACAGGCGCCCGCCACAACGCCCGGCTATTTTTTGGTTGCAGCCGTCATTGTTGTTTTGGCGGGTCCGGGCTGGGGGTTCAAACCCGCCACCTTAGGTGTATGTGGCTGGCGCCCTAGCCTGTTGAGCTATAGGCGCCGAGCCCCTGTGAATATATTTAAATGTACTATATCATAACACATTTATTTATTTTCTTAATTAATTAATTTATTTTTGCAGGTTTTGGCCAGGGCTGGGTTTGAACCCACCACCTCTGGTATATGAGGGTGGCCCCCTACTCCTTTGAGCCACAGGTGCCGCCCATCATAACACATTTAATAAGGTATGTTCAAATCTTCTGTTCCATGTGTGGGGAAATGAAGGGAGTATGTGTGCTAAAGTTTCTGATGTCAGTACTATACACAAGCAATTAGCAGGCATGACAAAGAAACCATAAACCTGTTTCAGGAATCCCTCTAGCAATTTTTTAGCTTTATACAGACTAAGCCCTTCATGGATGATAAGGAAATATGATTTTCTTCTTTTAATTTTTTTGGTATGTATTTTTGTCTGTTTATTCCTCCTCTAAGTTGAGGAGATGGGATTGGGAAGGTAGGCCTTATATTTTTTTTTGGCTGGGGCTGAGGTTTGAACCTACCACATCTGGCATATGGGGCTGGCACCCTACCCTTTTGAGCCATAGGCGCTGCCCCAATTTTCTTCTTAACATAAAAAAATAAGATTTAGGTTTGGGTGCTTACCAGGATCTGAACTTCATCAGACAGTTCCAAGAAATTCCCCTCAAACTGCTCAGAGGAACTGTTCATACAGCGAACAGTGACTTTAATAGTGGTCCGTCCAGCTGCTTTTGTGTGGACAACCATGGCAAAGTTATTCTCCAGTGGGAGCTGTAGGAAAACCTAAAACAGTAAGGGGATGAAGTAAGAACTATTCATGAATAAACACTGCCCTCTGTCTTTGTTGTTAACAATAAGAAAAATGTATGTTGGAAATAGCTAACTAGAAGAACTAAAGTACAGAATTTCTTTTCATAGCTTTTGTTTTTGTTTTATTTTCTTGTTTTTTAGAGACAGTATCTAGCTCTGTGACACAGGCTGGGATGCAGTGGGAATGATCATAGCTCGTTGCAACCTCGAAGTCCTGGGTTCCAGTGATCTGCCCACCTTAGCTTTCCAAGTAGCTGGGACTATAGGTGTGTACCTGGCTAATTTTTGGTTTTTGTGAAGATGGGGTCTTGCTATGTTGCTCAGGGTAGTTTCCAGCTCCTACAAGCAATTCTCCCATGTCAGCCTCCCAAAGTGCCGGGATTACAGGCAGATGCCAAGCCTGGCTTTCATAGCTAAATATTTTTTCATATTCCCAGCAGCATAATCACCCTTAAAATAAGCCTTTGTTTGCCATGCTCAACTAATTCTGGCAAGCCTCCCCAAGATTCTTTCTTATATTATCTCAATGTCAATTCACTGATAGAAGAAAGGAAATGATGGAAGTAGTTTCTATAATGAGTTCAGACAGTAGAACTTGAGATGAGAGAGAAGGGCAGCAATCTACTCATGGAGTTCAGTGTGATGGAAAAGGAAGGTCCTATAGGGAAGCTCCCTTTTCTTTTCTTTTCTTTCTTTTTTTTTTTTGAGACAGAGCACTGTGTTGCCCTTGGTAGAGTGCTTTGGTGTCACAACTCACAGCAACCTCAAACTCTTGGGCTTAAGCGATTCTCTTGCCTCAGCCTCCTGAGTAGCTGGGACTACAGGTGCCCACCACGACGCCTGGCTACTTTTTGGTTGTAGTTGTCATTGTTGTTTAGTAGGCCCAGGCTGGGCTCAAACCTACCAGCTCTCGTGTATGTGGCTGGCGCCCTTACTCACTGAGCTACAGACACTGAGCTGGGAAGCTCCCATTTTAAGAGTGTGCTAAAACTGGCTGACCATCTCCCTATTTGCTTCACTTATCATTCCAGCTTAGACTGGATAAGGAGGACAAGAACTTGATAGACTTCTGGTAATAGGAATGGTAGGGCCAACACTAAGGCAAATATTGAGTAGCACCTACCTCCTTTTCAGCATTCATTTCACGTCCTATCTCCTTTGCCTTCTTGCTGTCCAAAACCCTGAAGACCTTATAGCTCGCTTAACTTACAATAGAGTCCCAAGTTTTAAAATCAGCTTTCCTTCCTCCTCTAAATAAAAACTCCCATTTCCTTTGTGATCTCAATCGGTTGTCTGAAAGTCTCATGCTAAGGAATGAGTGGTTTTTAACTGTTTAATCCAAGTGAATGTATAAATGTTAGCATGTCTATAGCGTAGGAAATCTACCTTGTGGAGCATGAAGACTTTTCTATTGCCCTTGTCGTTATCCAGTTTGTCTGAGGCAAGAAAAGAAAACATTTGTGTGGCTCTTCTGGTAGAGCCACAATTGTTTCTTCTACTAGACAAAGGAATGATGCCTAGGCTGCCACGGTGGCTCCTAGCTAGCCCCAGCAATCTGGGAAGCTGAGGTGGGAGGATCCCTTGAGCTCAGGAGTTTGAGACCAGCCAGAGGAAGAGCAAGACCCTGTCTACTAAAAATAGAAAAACCATGGCTTGGTGCTTGTAGCTTAGCGCTAGGGCACCGGCCACATACATGGGGGTTGGGGGGTTCAAACCCTGCCCAGATCTACCAAACAACAGTGACAACTGCAACTACAAAAAAACAGGCAGCCAACTGTACTTGGGACACTGAGGCAAGAGAATCACTTAAGCCCAAGAATCTGAGGTTGCTGTGAGCTGTGACACCATGGTACTCTACTGAGAGCAACACAGTGAGACTCTGTCTCAAAAAAAAAAAAAAAAAAGGAAAAAAAGAAAAGCCAGCCAGGTGTTTGTGGGTAGGTGCCTGTAGTCTCAACTACTCTGGAGGCTGAGGCAAGAAGATTGCTTGAGCCCATGAGTTTGAGGTTACTGTGAGCTATGATGCTATAGCACTCTAGCCTGGGCTACACAATGACACACTATCTCAAAAGAAAAAAAAATGGTACTTTAGATAAGAAAACTAAAGGACGCCCGTAATCCCAGCACTCTGGGATGCTGAGGCCAGTGGATTGCCTAATCTCACTGGTTCTAGACCAGCCTGAGCCAGAGCGAGCCCTCCTGTCTAAAAATAATTGAGTGTTGTGGTGGGCACCTGTAGTCCCAGCTTCTCGGGAGGCTGAGGCAAGAGAATCGCTTGAGCCCAGAAATTTGAAGTTGCTGTGAGCTATGATACCACAGCACTTTACCAAGGGCAACAAAGTGAGACTCTGTCTCAACAAATAAATAAATAAAATAAAATAAAAATTTAAAAACAAAGCAACAAAAAATTCAGGAAAAAAAAGATGAAATAAAACATATTTAATATCAAGATCCCAAAGATAATACAACAAACAGGTGAATTCATACCTCTGAATGTCGAGGCACTAGATCCAGCACGTCCCTTTTGCTCATGGACCAGTGGAATGTGAGCCCAGGGTTGGCATTGCTAAAGGAGAAAGGGGTCTGGGTACTGGTCACTCCCATGACATAAACTGGCATCTGAAAAAGAAAAGTGCTACTGTGCTATATGCACATATATCCTGCCCAGTTGACATTATCAGAATGATGAGGCCACAACAGAGCCATCATACTGACCTCAGTAGCTGTGATAAGTCTAGTCGCAGCTGCAAGGATCCGAACAGCTCTTAGCTGGACAACTTCAATATGTACTTCATCCTGCTCAATAGAGGGAAGAGAAAGCATTTTCTTTATAACTAGCTTGCTGTTTTTCCACATGCAATACAAACCCTTACAACATAGGCATTTTATTTATTTATTTATTCATTTGAGACAGAGTCTCAAGTTGCTGCCCTGGGTAGAATGGCATGGCGCATAGCTCACAGCAACTTGCAACCTCCAACCTCCAACTCAGGCTCAAGTAATTCTCTTGCCTCAGTTTTTCTTTTTTATTTATTTTTATTTTTTGAGACAGAGTCTCACTATGTCCCCCTTGGTAGAGTACTGTGGAGTCACAGCTCACAACAACCTCAAACTCTTGGACTTAAGCGATTCTCTTGCCTCAGGCTTCCAAGTAGCTGGGACTACAGGGGCCTGCCACAATGCCTGCCTTTTTTTTTTGTAATTGTAATTGTTGTTTAGCAGGCTGGGGCTGGGTTCAAATGCGCCAGCCCCGGTGTATGTGGCCAGCACCCTAACCACTGAACTATGGGCACTGAGCCCAGTTTTTCTATTTTTAGTAAAGGTGAGGGTCTTGCGGCTCGGCACCCGTAGCACAAGTGGTTATGGTGTCAGCCACATACCGGTTTGAACCTGGTCTGGGCCTGCTAAACGACAATGACAACTGCAACAAAAAATAGCTGGGCACTATTGTGGTGGGCACCCGTAGTCCCAGCTACTTGGGAGGCTGAGGCAAGAGAATCTCTTAAGCCCAAGAGTTTGAGGTTGCTGTTAGCTGTGACACCACTGGCACTGTACCAAGGGCGACATAAATGAGACTCTGTCTCAAAAAAAAAAAGATGGGGTCTTGCTTTTGTTCAGGCTGGTCTGGTTTTTGTGAACTCAAGCAATTCACCTGCCCCTGCCTCCCAGAGTGCTAGGATTACAAGCCTGAGCCACTGCACCTAGCTGTTTTTGTTTGTTAAAGAATTCTTTAAGGATAAAGGCCATGTCTTATGCCAAGCACTCTATGGGTTTTTCACTAGAGATTATATATTTTTCATGCCTGGTTTAGAGAATACCAGGTGAGGGGGACTAAAAGAGTTTTCCTGGGCTGCTGACACCCACTCTTCCCACCTCCTCCCCAGCCCCTCATACCTCCAATATGGTTACCAGATAGAAGAGTAGAAGCCAAGCAGAGCAAAGAACCAATACCTGGGAAAATACAATGACCTTGCCAGTGTCTTCATTTACCGTCTGGATGGTGCCATGGACCACAGCTGTGCCAACCACCTTCCCTGTAATTTGTCCCCTCCTATTAACAACAGCCACGGTCTGATTACTGATGGAGAAGTGAATGATAGATTGGGGCTGTGGGCCACCTTCAGACATTACCTGGAATTTAAACATACTATTGAACGCCTGGGGGAAGAAGCCACATCTCTTTTCCCAACGTTTTGTCCAAGCAATTTGACTTCTTCCCCAATTTGGCTTCATCTTCTCCCACTTCCCAGATAGCATATCCCATATCAACTCAAATTCAGAAGATGTGGAAGTGCTGCAAATGACCTATGGAATTCCAACAATTAATTTACATAAGGTATATAATGGGTCAAGGAAAATACTAATTTTCTTCTTTTTCTTTTTTCACATCAGACAGGTAATGTATCCACATCCTAACAAGGTTTGCTCATAAGTGTGAAAACACAGTCAGTAGTTTATGAAATACAAAAGGATCTATTAATAATGTTTTTTATCAGATACAGTTGCCCTTGGCTAAGAGTAGACAAAAGGAGGCATCAGGGGAGAAGGATAGAGAGAGAGAGAGGAAAGGAGAAGAGGTAAATCTTATTCTTCTGCCTTTAAGATTACCTGCATCATGTTAGTTGGAATTAGCGTCATTTTGTCTGGAACAAGTCTGAATGGAGGAAACACCTTAAGGAGAAAATCAAAAGGACAATAGTGACTAACGAGATCCAATTTCATAATAAATCATCATGATCTTATTCTAAAGAAAACTTCTGATGATGTACAAAGAAGTTAAACATAAGAATATGTATTTTAATTTTATTTATGTATAAAACTTTTATTAATAATAGCAGAAAAGGCTTGGTGCCCATAGCACAGTGGTTACAGTGCCAGCCACACACACTGAGGGTAGAGGATTCGAACCTGGCTGGGCCAGCTAAACAACAATTACAACTGCAACAAAAAATATCTGGGCGTTGTGGTGGGTGCCTGTAGTCCCAGCTACTTGGGAGGCTGAGGCAAGAGAATCTGTTAAGCCCAAGAGTTTGAGGTTGCTGTGAGCTGTGACACCACAGCACTCTACTGAGCACCACATAGTGAGACTTTGTCTCAAAATAAATAAATAAATGATGATAATAGCAAAAGAATTAAATTATTTAAGTGGGAATACTTAAATAAGTTATATGTCCACTTGCTGGACTAAAAGTGACCATTAAAATTATGTTTACAGTTCATTTTCCTGTTTACTTTCTATGAAATATATATATTAGGCTCAGTGCCTATAGCTCAAGCTGGTAGGGCGCCAGCCACATACACTGGAGCTGGCAGGTTCAAATCCAGCCTGGGCCTGCCAAATACCAATGACAACTACAACTTAAAAATAGTGGAGCCTTGGGTGGCACCTGTGGCTCAGTGAATAGGACGCTGGCCCCATATGCCGAGGGTGGTGGGTTCGAACCCGGCACCAGCCAAATTGCAACAACAACCAAAAAAAGTAGCCGGATATTGTGGTGGGCACCTGTAGTCCCAGCTACTTGGGAGGCTGAGGCAAGAGAATCGCTTAAGCCCAAGAGTTTGAGGTTACTGTGGGCTGTGATGCCACGG